ACAACTCGATTAACCTGTGCAGGTTCGGCTTGTCCAAGCTGGGGCGACCTTTACCCACTCCTTGGCAATAATTTGCGCAAAACTTGTCTGCCTCAGTCACACACTTCTCAGCCCTTTCGAGCAAGTCTGCATGGTATTGAGCTCCATTATCACTTGTCACATACAAATAATCTGAGACACCATCCGCCTCTTCCGATGGCCACCAGTACGTCAACACAATCAAATCCTGCAATTGTGTCAATAGATCCAACACAACAGTGGTTTCTTCACTCTGGATCCCCGGGAACAGTTGGTATAAAACCGGAACGCACACGAGAAGGGCACAGAACACACCTGACAGAGTCATGGAATTGAGTTCATTCTTGGAACTAAAAACTGATGATTGCCTCTTCAACCCATTGTCTCCGAGGGCTCCGCATATTGCCATGTCAGCTTTTGCTCTGAACGCGACCGCGTTTCCTTGTCGGTTAATCACGTGGAAGCCTACCTCGATAACGTTCTTCGCGAGACCGGCCAGCAAATGGTCAGGCGCGACGACGTTGCAGCGATATGCCTCAAAACGTCCTGACACCACACGCTTTCCATCGCTTGTTAACGGTATGTCAACGCGTACGCGCTCAAGTTCCCTTTGCAATGCAAGAAGAGGAGAACTTTCGTCACTAACCTTGTTGCTGTCTTTCATACCAAGCCGGTTTGTGTCTCGACTGTCAATTTCGCTGTTGCGAAGAGCTTCATGGCGTTCCATGCACCTCAAGGACGCCGTGCGGTGTGCATGGACTTTTGTTGTATAGCCGTATCCGCTCTCACCGACGCCGCTGTTCTTCCGAAATGTACAAAGAGTGCAGGGCGTATTTGCTGTATGTCCCATAACATCCAATGTTTCAGCGGCCGCTGGATAGTCAGCCACAAAACCCACCACGTCGACAAAGATTCTTACTCTCTCGCCGGTAGGCGTGTGTGCTTCCACACCTTCTGTTGTACACTTAACCAAGTCTGGGATGATTGAGAGCAGTATATTGTTCGTTGATACACCTGGAGGGGTTAGTCCAATGATTCTGACAGACGATCGCGTGTTACGACTTCGCGGTGGTAGTCCAAGCGGGATCATGTAGCATCCACCTGCTGAACCCTGCGGATACAATGAAGAGAATGGGGAAAAGTCATCGCAGTATAGGAGAGCGCGATAGACCACGAACTTTGTTCCATCCATTAAGCGGCCGCTGTTTTGCATTCTTCTGTCAATGTTGCGGGTGCGTCCCGATATTTTGGGCTCTTGGAGGAGGAAAGGCAGCCCTTTCAAATGTTGAGTACCGAGCAGACGAAAGGGTTTGTCTGGAGTTCCATCGCCACCATCATTGAAACGCTGACCGGCCCCGTTTGTACTCATGTTTTGAAACCAAAACAAAGTGTCTGAGGTGAGACCTTCCTTGTGTTTCCAAAACCTAGAAACCAACATACACATGCGCGACGTTGCCACTGCTTCACTTTCTGTAGGTCGAAGGAGGGTACAAATATCCCCAGGCAACACCTTCTTCGAAGAACGAGCCCTTGCTTCAAAATCTATCCTTCCATCTCTACGCCTCACAGATCTATTATACTTTTCCAATGGCGGTGCTGTACAAAACTGCCTGGCCAGGCAATTCTCCACGCCACGGAGAACCTTCATCGCCATGTTGGCGCTTCTTGTAACATTTCCCTCACTTCCCACGCACCACACGGCTGAAATTATACACTTCATTACAAAGTTATTCTCTGCGTTCTCATGAACAAGATAGCCCAGATTGCGCACGTCAAGTGACAAACGTGATGGAAGCAGTTCTGACAGTTCCATTCGAATCACGGCACCCGGGAACGCCTGCACAGTACATGAACCATTGTGGACGTAAAGTGCTCTCGTAGCTTCCGATTTATCTGCCGCTCTGCAACCAGCTTCGAGCTTTCTATGCATTCTGCATCCGCCACACCACCATGCCATCGACTGGATTTCGGATACATTGAGTTGAAGAACGGAGCCATCATGATGTCCACTTTCGCCCATTCACTTGGTGGAACGATACGAACAGGAGTTTTAGACCCGTTCGAATATTGCGATGCGGTCTCCTCGTTACCCCCCAAATTTTCAACCAATGACGTTCGGTTGAATGCCTTCTTCTTTCGTCGGACGACAAAGTACTTGAGGTCACTCTTGGGAAAAAGATACTTCAAAGCATGCGGAAAGAGAGTCCTCTGTATGGTGGAATAAGATGGGAACTTAATAGAAGGAGAAACCCAAGACAGTATATCTCTCAGGAGGTTATACTGTTTGACCGTATAGCGGACGCTACCGCAAACTATTACGAAGCCCAAAAGGTTGTACCATGGTTCGAAAAGCTTCCGAGACGATAGAAATATTCGCAAAACTTTCTGGCTGTCCAGCCTGCTTCCCATTTCGGGATCGTCACTTGATAAACTCGGAAGGCACTCCATTCCCTCACAGCTCTCTTGATAAATACTTGGAATAATGATATTGTCATTTCCCACTAAAAAACCGTTTGGATCGCTCTCGGGAGCGAAGTGTTCCGAGTCGCCAAGCTCGGGGAAGTGGCCTTCATCATAGTCGACAAGATCTATTCCTTCTTCGACGACAACCGTTTCTCGATGTTCCGAGCCCTTTATCTTCGATCTAGTAACTTGATCTCCAGTCTGATTGTTCGACGAAGCGTGCCCATTCAACACTCCCAAAATATCAGCCGCTTCGCCAGTTTCCGGAAGCTCGAGAGCTGGTGTTTCTTCTGCTTCCATAAGTGCGGCCGCATCTGCATCCCCATCGAGATCGCATCCTGGTCGTGTATGAACGCCATGGAACAGAGCTGCCAGGTCTGGCAAGTTAGGGACGTTGTCCATCCAAGTAGTGCCCATCGTACGACGTCTCTTTCTTCGACCTGACATATGAGGAACGGTGGTGCTGTCGTCCGATATTTTCGTGTGGACTATGGTGTTGGAAGAAGTGAGAGTGTAGGATGTTGTTGAAGGAACAATGCGCAGGGGTCGCCAGGCCTGGCGGTTTAGATTTTGCCCACCAAATAATTACATTACAAGTGGCGGTCTGCTAGTGTCTCTCCGACCGTGAGGACAAAATTTGAGGACAAAGGGATTTTTCTTCGAACTCCTTGCTTGTTTTTAGTTCTGATTTGACTACTGGGTATTCCACATAGCCCTTGACACAATCAGAATAAATCGTTTGTTGTGGAGACAAGTTCTATCTCTAAAAGCGAAGCAGAACCTGGAAATCTTCACTGTAAGCAGTTTTCCTTTGTAGTACGAAATTGAAAATGGCTTCTTCGTGATTTACAAGGTATTTCATTGACAACCCCCGCCGTTCAAGTGCGATATGGCGGTCTTGAAGTATTCTTTCAGAAGAATTCGTGTCGGCTAAATGATGAAAAATTAATAAATTTGTCGGCTCTGTTGAGGTATGATAAGCTTGGTCGGTCGGATACACACTACAGTACAGGGTATTAACTCTGCCTTTCTCTGTCCACCGTTGTTTACTCCGGTATCCCCCAACCTCCTCTTTCTTTCCCCTCACTAATCCACCATGACCACTGCCCTCGCATCTCCTCCCGTCCTTCTCTGCTTCTGTCTTTCTCTGCGCCCTGTCACGCAAGCTACGCCCTCGCTGTCGCACCAGCTGCACCCCTCGCATGGGGCCCTGGAAGGCGGGTGAGAAAGACGAGGCCTTCCGCTAGCAGCAAGAAATTTTGGCCCGCCGCCGCGACCCCAAGCGCAACAAGATTGTTGCCACAAGAACATTGCCTCCCTTTCTGAGGCGCGCCTTTTCCCTGTGATTGCTCTCTCCACCTCGTACGCATCCAACGAAAATCCAATGCCATGGCCAAAACACTCTCTCCGCGACTTCCTCAACTTGGTCCGCAAGCTCGCGCGTTGGCACGATAATGACGCCCAAGGAACCCTTTTCTCGTGTCACTCGCCGAGACCTATTCAACAAGTAATGAGCTATGGGGGGCAAATATGCAAGCGTTTTCCCAGATCCAGTTGCACTGCGGACGAGCACATCGATCGAGTTTTGGCCATTACCAAGATTTAACATTGCCTTGAGCACTTTCTCCTGAATGAGGGTTGGGAATTCAAGCTGCATGTGATTGGTGAGGTGCCGCACCACGGACGGATACAGCCCTGTTTCCTCAAATGAACTGATACCAAACATGTCATCCTCTTTACTGGTTTTCGCCGCGCCGCTCGGGTCAGTCGGAGCTGTGCCACTCGTTTGGCTTTCTTTTCCTTCAGAGATGCGAATAGGGTCTCTTCCGAGAATGTCAAGTGTTGCGTTCACTGTTTCAGGCCTCTGGTCCGGTTTATCCGCAACAGGCGCTGTATCCTTGAAGTGGACCTTTGACTTCGTCGGCAGTTCCCTTTCTTTCTTCTGCTTTTCATCCGCATCGCTCCCTCCGACAGTGATTAAATTTGGAAGCTTGGCTACACTATCAGAAGAGCTCGGTCTGACGTTGCCGGGTGCGTTGGCTGCCTTTGCCTTCGCAGGCGTGGCGCTGCCCACGGCATTCGCAAGATTTTCCTTGTCTACTCCGCTCGAAAATTCATCTGCCTGAAGCCTGAACGCCGTTGACTTTGGCTGCGAGCGGTTAGACGGGCGTTGCCTCTTTTGAGCGTGCACTCGCTGGATGACTTGCTCTTGACGTCGCTTCCGCCAACTCCCCTTCGCTTTTCCTTGTTGTTGTCGTTCCCTGCGAGTTTCACCCTGTCTTTCCACATTCGTCATCATCGCTACTTTCACTGTTACAGAGCTGACAGCGGACGTGGAATCGCCAGCGAGACTGAAGCAACGCTGCGACTCGCGAGCGTCGTTTCAGTGCGCTCTCACAGGTGTTTTTCCAACTGAGCTCTTCGTTGAGCAATTCTACGAGTTGCAACAACTAACGCACAGGAAAAATGGCAGACGACGACATTGATGGAGGGTAAGTCAGTTACAATGTTTTCACAGCATGAAAAACCGGGGCGCACACATGCACAAATCGTCCCATCACCCACTGACTCAACCTTTTGCCGACCTCAGAATGCAGGACTATTGCGACGAGGTGAATGAAATGCCCGAGGGAAATGATGGCATCGACGCGATGGATTGCATATCGCCTGATACAGTGCTCATGAGGGATGCCAACACTAGGTTATATTTCGTATCGTGCGAGAGTTGCGGCGCAAAGAGATCTGTAGCAGCCATTAGACAAGGCTTCATGGCGCGTGTTGAGCGCCGCAAGAAGAAGTAAACTTGCCGCCGAACTTCGACTTGCACGTCGAGAGCCTATATATTCCTTCTCACTATTGGTACTGCCTGCTATGTCTACTTTCCAAAACTTCGGCTCATCTACCTATTTCGCCTGTATGTTAAAGATCAAAACTGCATTTTCTGAGGTTTCGACGAGGGCTTGACAGGCCAGATGTCTCCCCATTTTACCTTGCGCGCCTGGGTGTAGTGCCCTGCAATTGCATTTTTCTTTAAAACAACCCGTCGCTCCAACTCGCCGTTGACCGTACATGCATCCAACACTACATGCTTGCCCTTCATCAGCGGAGGTCTAACCAATCTTCCCCACAGAGCTTCTTGCTCATCCCGCAAAAGCTTCTCCTCCTCGCCCCTTCCCGTCTTCTGGATCGCAACGTACGAGAAATACTCGTCCTCATACCCCGTCGCCAACGGGCGATGCTTCCTCAAAAACCCTGGCCGATTGAACCGCTGCTGAAAGCGACATACGCGATGCCGAGTGATGCTACCCTCCAATGGACACGCCTTCGAATGCATGCACGGCGCAATCACATTCGCGCCATCGCCCTCCTTACTTCCAGACTCGCCATCCCCCACTCTCCCCGCGAGTCCAAGGATAACTCTCCTCGCAAACGACACCGTCTCAAACCCTGCCGCCGTGCCATCTTCCACAATGACAAAGATGCCTCCTTCCTTCGTCCTCTTCCATAGCTCCTTAATCTTGCGCTGAAGCCTCTTTTCCGCCGTCTTCTCCCTCTCTTCCTTGGGCACGGGGATCTTCTCCTCCCCCTCCCCAAGCCGCGCAGGCTCTGACATAGTCTCCCGAACGACTTCGTTCAACACATAGCTCGCCAAGAAAATGTCCCACTCCGTGGCCGCGCTTTTCAAATCGGCCAGTTCCGCCGCATGTGACAAACTGACGCGCCCATTCACATACCCGTCCGCCTTCAAAACCTCTCTGGACATATTCCTCATCGCTGACGAGCGATCTACAAGCGCAGCCTCATCAATAAAGGCTTTCCCCAAAGCCAACCCCTCCCCCTTCTCCTCCTTCTCCCCCTCCCGCTCCTCCCGACTGTCTCCCTCTCTCAAATATGCCGCCAAATTCACAAACGGGCTGTCATTAAAAACCCTGGCCACAGCCAAAGTGCCGACGCCCACGCCCGCTCCAAAGTCGAGCACGCTCTTCGGCTCGAAGCGTTCCCCCAAGCAGCGTCTGACCTCGGCCATGACGTAGACGCTTGCAGCCAGGGTTCCGGGGGCCCTCGAGATAGCGTGGGCCAGGGCGGCGTTGTCGTCGTAGGCGGGCGGGGGCGCGACGACCGGGGCGCCGCGCAGCGGCTTGCGGCGCTCGTGCGCGGCCTCGCGCGCGACGAGACGGTCCATGGGCTTGGTGGACTTGCGCAGATGGCGCGGCGTGAGCCTGGAGGCGACCAGGAGCTTCGACATGGAGGCCTGGACGGAGGCCGGGAGCGCGACGGTTTCGAGCGGCAGCAAGGGCGAGCCCAGGACGCCGCGCTGCGACTGCAGGCTGAAAAGGGAGGCCATCTTGGAGGGAGCGGGCGAGAGCGCGGTGTCGGCGGTCGGGGCGCGAGCGGGCGTGGCGCTCGTGCGGCGGTTCGGGTACGGCGCGCGCAGGCGTTTTAGAGCGCGGGTGAGAGTGGGGGGGCGGGAAATGGCGGGGGAGGGGTGGTAGGGTGGGGTAGGGTGGGCTGCGGGATGGCGATGGGCGGGTGGCGGTCTGGTGAGGGAATGGGTCAAATTAGGTTGAAAGAGAGGGCAGTCTGGACGTGTAGACGGCAACGAGTATCCTTGGTACACAGTGTTGTACGGTATTTGGAGTGTTGCGGATTGATACGATAGGCAACGGCAGCACGGCGGTCGGATCAAGCGGGAGGCAGCGGCACAGGGCTGGTGTGGTGGATCAATTAAATGCACCAAAGCAGGGCCCGTTTTTGGCAATTTTTCGACGCATGTGCCCATCCTACCGTACAGTACCTTCGTACCGTACAGTTCACAACAGCTCAGTTGTTGACGTGGTTGCGGAACTCCATCGTCATGCTGTACACTTCTATACTTTACGTTTTGAAAGAGAACAACCTGATAGATCCCATCTATCAGGCTCTTCTCTTTCAAAACAAGTGTCTGTCGAGTGTCTGTCGTAAATTTGCAGCCCTGAAATGCTTTCCAGTTTGCAACATGTGCAACTGACTCTTGTCAACACTGGTTTTATCCCACCTAGCAAAATTCCGGTACAGTACAAAGCGTGGCGTCGTGCACAGTGAAAGGATGCAGAACGGTCGGCTCTGAAACCAGAAACCAACTCACCCCCTCCTTTTGCGACTGTTACATCAACACACAAACAAAACAAACACTACACCCGGATCCCCGCGTGAGCCATCACACCAAAAATGTCCAAAGTCAAAATCCCCTCCCACAACAAGCACTCCGCGTAAATACACTCACTTATTGTACATACAAAATCGTTGCGCGCTTCGTCCTAAGAGTGGCCTAATAATTGCAGCGTACACTGATCAATCAGGAACGTGACGGCGTTAGCCGGGACCGCCCTAGCCAGACAAGGACCGATGCCCTTGTACAAGCCGCCGACGCCTTCCGCCTTGACAGTCTTTCGCATGCAATCCAGCAACCCACGATACCGCGGGTTGGTTTCGCTGTCCGTCTGGATGAGCGTTTTCGCAAAATCGATTGGGTAACACGGCATCCAGAAGGCTACACAAACGACGATAAAAACAATAAGACAAAAACAGTAAGTAAGTTAGAAAGATGTGATTTCGGCGGCACGGCTCCCGGGGGGAATTCTGCTCTCAAGTGCAAACATACCTAAACAAGCCATTCCACCCGCAAACATAAGCTGCGAGGCGGAGAGATCCTTCGTAGCCTGCCCCGGGCTACACAAAGCCCTCATAGTAGCATTGTAAGTCATGAACATGAGAGCATTTCCCGGCATCTCCCTGACCATAGTAGCGCCCATGCCCGTGAACAAGCCTCCCATACCCCTGTTAGCAACGACCTGCCTTGTACAATCGATAGCACCATTAAAGGCGCCCGGCTGTGCCTGCAAGCGGCACTTAATCAGCTCTGTGGGGCATGCAACAAAGCTAACGGCAGGGCCAGCGCCGGCGCCGGCCAGGCCGATCTGGGCGATGGAGAGGTCGTCGTCCGGGCGGCCCATGCCGACGACCTTGCGCATGGTGGAGTTTGCGGCGAACAGGGTGGCGTTGAAGACGGCGACGAACGGCAGCGGGGCCTGGATGCCCGCGTACAGGCCGGCGGCGCCCTCGCGCGAGACGACCTTGCCGCAAGGGCAAGTAAAGCCATTCAACCGCGAGGATCTCAATCTCCCCCTGTCGACTGGAAGAGGTTGTTAGTGGGAGACACAGAGGAAGAAAATGGCATTTTCTTTTGGGAATGCTTGGGTAGCACCACTAGGACTGTCGCCCAGCCGTATCTTGCCGAGCCATTTGATGTCCAACATTACAAGGGAGTGTTCGGCGGAAATTCAGCCGGTGACATCACTCTGGCATGCCAACCTGTTTGGTCCAAGGTAAAGGCGGCTTCTCCTGCTGGTGTGGTTGCAACAGCTCAGGAATGGCGACGGCACATCTCTCCTCGAATTGCAGCTACCCACTCAATTATCCAGCCCAGTTTCACTGCGACTGTTCCCGTCCTCGTCGAACAATCTGATTCGCACTCGCCCTCGCGCTCAGTAGTCTCGACAATACGCCTTGTTCAGTTCCAAGGCCGTCTGAAACTTGAGCAGTTGCGCACAATCAAACACCTCCTTTTATCCTCGGGTTTTTCAACGCACTTATCTTTCACGATTTTGAGACCCTGGTTCACGCATAAAACGGCAACATCTGTCAACAATCCTCCTTTGCGACGCAGATGGGGGGGCGCCGCACGACGGCGCGATGCGGGCGCCGGAGTCATCGTTTTTGATCTGCTCATCGTTTGCGTACAGATGTTGGCGGAGAAAAGTTTGCCTGGAGACAAAAGTTGTAGTACAGCTCTGTGCCTTCGTTTTTTGTGTGGACAAAAGTATTGCGTTCACCGTAGATTGCTCCGACGCCGCTATGTGGAAGGCGAGATAGGAAAAAAAATCCTAGTCAATCAAAATTGATGGGCTTGCGCATCACGCAAATTTAGTACCGCTGGAGGGTACTTGTAGTTGAGCCCGTGCCGCACACTCCTCCCGGCTCCCCGCCCGTTCCGGCCTTCCACCTTCCACCATCCCAACTCAAACATCACACATTCTCAGCCTTCCCCACGATGACTCCTCCCGGCTCCCCGCCCGTGCCGACCTTCCACCTTCCACCCCCCCGTGCCGACCTTCAACCTTCCACCTTCCTAACTCAAACATCACACATTCTCAGCCTTCCCTACGACGACTGATCCTGACCCCAACGCATCACTCCTACCCCAGTTGCAACTCCATTTCCGACCCCTCATCCCCCCCCCGTTTATTGGAAACACCTGCCATGTCTGCGCCTTCTGCAGTACCTTTCGTATTTGACCTCACAACTGGACAGCCGTCCTCACCAGCACCCCAGTCACCGCAGTCGCCAACGGACCACACACTACCACGCACCCCACTTCCTGACTCCGAACACTCACAACCCACCGGCGGCGTTGTAACACCACGGTGCACAGCACCGCTTGTTGACTTTTGTCTCCATGGGGGCCTCGTTGTGTCCAGAGGTAATACGGTACAGGATAAAAATCCTGTGCTTCCTACATTTGATTCGACATGGGCAGGCCTTCCTTGTGTACAGTCACGGGCAGACCGTGCATTGTGCACGAATGTGAGGGATGGCCCCGAGCCCATGAGGTTGGATATTGGAAGGATGAGGGGCCGGCACAACTGGCACTCGGTTCCCGTTCAGGATTTAAGTTTTCGGAAGTATGTGCTGCAGCACACAGTGCACCAGAAAGGAGATGTGAAGCGGTTCCGTCAGCTCGCGATGCAGGATAATGCATCGGCCATGGAAGGGTGGAGTCAGTTTGCTGCCAATAGCAACTATTGGGAGGTGCCCAGTACATTGACGTGCGGGCGCACTTTCGCCAGAGATGTACTCGATTGTTATTATCTTGACGAAATGGACTACGTGTTGCAGTCCGGTCATACCCTACGTCGCCACAAGTTCCCTCTTTTCGCTGATCCATTGATGGGGCGTTGGTGGAATGCTTTCAAGCACAGAGCAAACTTCTCATACGAGCGCTATACGAGGAATCGCTATGGACTGCTTATACCTTTCGACTGTTACGAGACCATGTACTTTGACGATGCTTTGTATAAAGAGGTGTTTCCCCAATGCCCACACTGGCTGCATGCTCTGAAGTTCCCTGAGGGAGTTCCGCTACCACTGCCGCCGGTCATCTACTACTACCATGACGAAATGGTCGTAAGGGAGGGAGGCGTGATGTCAGAAAAATGTCGCAGGCTTTGGCAAATGTTTCGCATGGAGATATGCACCATGTTTTGTGCGTTTTGGTTCAACGAGGCAACAAGGGGCGGCCGCCTATTCTTGGTGGACAAGGGTACCATTACAGTGCTGAAGGACGTATGCAAGGATGTGAAGTGGGTGAATGGGAGCCAGATGCTCTTTCCTCTCATGGAGTTTGTGCATAAGCTGCCACGACATCTGGAATGCTATATGGTGAGCACAAATCCGCATCTATCTAACTGCGTGTACTTCCATGCGTTGCATGGAACGGGAGAGGCGGATATGAGGAAGGCAGGAGGAGAAGTGCAATACCTTTCTTTCAAATCGAGAAGGATTCGCTTGGCTGCGCGTCAGCAGCGGCGCATGGAGGAGAGGCGGTCCTCGCCTATGACCCTAAGTCTTCATCCACAGGATTTGTCGTTAGTGGAAGGCCTTCCCGCGCTCGTCATTGCCAAGCAGTGGGACCTCCACGGTAGTCTGACTGTTAGAGGGCTGGTATCATTTCTGTATGATACAGCAAGCAAAACGACCAGAACTGTTGATCAGATCTCTCAAGAAGTGGGCAGGCTGCAGCAGGAGAATGAATCGCTGCGCAGCTTCATTAATGGAACGGCAACTGGGCATCCGTCGGCTGTCCGCGCCAAACATTTACACCATAGGCCGAGTATAACCCCGTTCCATGGCCCGTTCAATGTACCTCATGTACACCCACCCCAGAGGATGGACAGCGGATATGATGGATACAATGATGACAGGAGAGGAGAACAAAGGGGCGGCCGCCATCATTATGTTCGAGATGAAGGGGACTGACGAGATCGGAACGAGTGGGTTGGTAGGGGACGGGATAGTCGTGAACGATATCAACGTCAAGGCATTGGCTATGGCACAGGGCAGAGAATAGAAGCAAACGATCAACTTCTATACGGATACGGTTACCATGATGCTTCTCCGTTTCGTGGTCGAGCTCGGCAGAGAGAATGGACTGCTCCGGAATCAGAGAGGACCAGGTTCAGGCGCTCGAGTATGGACAATGACTACTAGTAAACACTTTGGCCAAAGTGAAGTAAATATTCATTGACTGTACCTATGCTAAATGGCGAACACACCGCCATCCACCGAAGGCTGTATCTCTCGCGCTGATGTGTCCCTGGTACGCTGCCCTTCGACACCGTTCACACCTGCTTCAGTACCATCATTGCGAGGACTCGCCCCAACGTTTAGCTTGCAGTACAAATTATCCTTCATGCGGAGAACTGTCCCCGAAAGGAATCTGATCTGTGATGAACGACCTGGTATGAGCTCGGATAGTCTCAAATTTTCACATTTGATACTTGTGGTGTCCATGTTGTTGATATCACGGACGCGACCGTTTTCACAGTTCTTCACCAAAAACTGAGACGTCAAGTCTTTGAAGACTAAGGCGATTCCGAGAATACAGCGGAGTGCATCTTTGTGACCAAGGAGGAATGAGAGTGGACTTCTTTCCGAATCGGAACTTTGCGCAAACTCCGTGCAAAACTTGGCGGCTGCCTCCACAACGTTGATAGCTTTGTTGATAACTCTCTTTTTCGTTCTGTTTCTCTTTCTTTTAGACGAACCTAAGGCCTCAGTCACTTGTACCTCGTGAGAAACAACAAAGAATCATGTCCTGTCGCTTCCCGTACAGCTCACTCAGAAGGTTGGAATTGTATTCATTAAGGTTGATATCGCCGGAAGACTTCGTCTTTGTGTTTTTGATGTCTTGAAGGCCGCCGCCCCTTGACTTGGAAGCATCAACTTCTGGGAACCCCCAACGAACCGTAAGCTTTGATTGATCAACTGACACACCAGATCCCGACCATAGCACCATCAGGAAATCTAATTGTTCGAGGAATGCTGACTTGCCCTTCTTCCTGGACTGGTTCAAGTGCTTGCCCATAAGCTTGTATATCTTCCAAGCTCCGTGCCTGGCAACGTCCCGCGTCGTCGGAACCTCCTTTACCACAACTTTCTCTGGCGCTTGCATGTTCCCTGGCCCGGCGTGTATTCACCATCCTCTTCTTCCCCAGAATCACTTTCACTTTCGACATCCTTCAGTCTACGTTTCGAGGCTTCAGACTTACTGTAATTCTGCACCAACCTGGCGTGCTCGATGTCGGTTTCAAGGATGAATCCTTTCTTCAGCCAGTCTGGTTGGCGCAAACTCACAGTTTTCCCGGTGCAACTGAAATCGACGGGAGTGTCCGTTTTACAAGTGCGGCCCTCAGGATTTTCAGCAGTTTCACGAACGGCGTCGGCTGCGATAACATTCTGATCTGCTCTGGCCTTCCCTTCCTCGCTGTCATCCGCAAACATCCCAAAGCTGTTCAGCTGCACATTGTATATGAAGTTGAGGACAACATTCTTCTTGAAGCGACTGTGGCGTCCGCCAATAACCTCTCTGAACTGCTTTCTTGTCTCCCTTGGATTTTTCCCGCACAGCAAAACCTGTACTGCAGTTGAAAAACGAAACAAGACCCGTTCCTTGGCCAAGGTGTTATCACGAGCTGTCCGAAGAACTTCGAAAGGTACGATGCTGCATAGAATTCGATGACAAGCATCTCGGTTGACAACAAGGCCATCACAAGGAGTGACTTTGTCCAGAAGCTTGTTAAATCGGCTGAGGGGGGTGTCTGTGGATTTGTTAGACGTGTTTGCTCTGGACACAATGGCATGAATATCTGCTAGCTGGGTGCCCACCTCATCAAATCTTTTGTCTGTCTTATCCATTCTTTCAACAAGACTGCTTGTCAGCGTATTGAGCTTTGCATTGAGCACGCCCTCGAGTTTTCGGAACATGGACTGTAAAATGGAATTTGTAATTGTCACCGCTCCCAATGCATGAGGTTGTTCCGTGCTTTCTATATCGATATCCAGGTCGTCTCCAGGCTGATGTCGGCTGACGC